CTCCCCAAAACCCCAAAACCCCAAAACCCCATAGAGCCAATATTTCGGAATATAGAAGTATTGAAACTTCAGATATATAAATTTATAAGATATTAAAATGGACTTTTTATCAAAATAATTCAACAGAGTGGGCAAGTAATCAGAGAACTATCAGATTACCTTCAAACCAATCGTCCTTAAAGTCAATGTTTACGCTTCCTCCTAGTACTATATCATTTTTAAGAGAGGACCATAAAAAGATGAGAGCAAAAAGTATAAGCTAGAACCTCAAAGTAATGGACTCCAGATGCAGTAGCTTTTATTTGAGGATGAGGTATTCCAAAGAGTCAGCAGTTTTTATTAAGAAAAAGACGGCAAATTCCAAAAAAAGAGTGCAGATGTCATTATAAAATGCATCAATCAAGTAAAAGAGGAAAAAATTAGTGAAGTCTCATTGAATTTGTCGAGCTATATTGGTAGAGGATCTGTTAAAGATAGTATTTAATTAACTGGCAGTGCTTACTTCTTAGATTTTGAAATAGAAGTCGTAAAATCTGAAGGAGCAAGTGGTGATAGACAGTCACAAGTGGAATCTGATCAATAAAGAAGTGCAAGCTAGGCTTAGGATTCCGATGATGAAGATTAATCTCCTTTAAAATCCTAAATTTCAAATGACAGCAAACATGATGAAAGTCCAAACATGCGTCAATCTAAATCAGTAGTAGTTTAGAATATCAACACTCACGAAAGAGAGGAGCTCTAGGAGCTTTAGGAGAAATTGACTAAATAACAAAAAGAAAATTACAATTTAAAGCTATAAGCTGAGTAGCTATAAAATAAAATCTAGGAGATAGAATTGTCAAATCAAAAGATCGAAGAGGAAAAAGATGTGATTCATAAAGAGCTTGAGAAAAGAGGGGAAGTTCAAAAGAGGTGGCAATCAAGATGCACCGAGTTAGAGACAGAAATAGGCTCACTTAAAAAGGAAGCACAAGATTATTATAGTGCTGATAGATTCGACAATCAATACGATTGAATTTAACTTATTAAGGTCAGAAAAATAATACTGTCATATTCAAATTAAGAATCTGATTGTTAAGGTTACAATATAATCGCAGATTATTTAACTAAAAGTGGATTCTTTACTTTAATTAGACATATATTGTTCTGCATGGGGTTTTGGGGTTTTGGGGTTTTGGGG